GGGCTGGAGCGGCGCCGCACTTATTTCCCGCAACCGGCTGAGCCGGCGCGGCAGCCTTGGGTTTCTTATGGTTAAAAGGGCAACCCTGGCCTGCGCACGGGCAGGTCTGGCCCTTACGTACATATTTGCATGTTGTCTCGCCCTTAGTCAATCCGCTCTTCATGACGTCTGTGGGTTTGCCTAGTCGAGCTGTTGCCTCTGCCGGAGCGGCTTTGCCGTTGGCATTTCGACGACTGCCATTGTTGTTACCCCCACCTCCGCCCAATCGGGCCTGCCGAGCACGTTGATTCAGAGTACTCTCATGCACATTGATGTTCCATTCTTCCTTATCGCGCAACATCAACGATTCAATATAAGTCATGAGCCACTCATCGGACTTCACTCCAGTTCCCACTTTGTCTTTAAACATGTCGTAGGTTTGACAAACAAAGGACAGCCTCTTAGGCTTCCTACGCTGCTCAATGAGATGTGCATGAACCGAGGCTCGCATCTCATCAGATGGAGGTCGAACACCATAACTGTTGGTAAACATCTGTCCACCCATTGTCGACATGGTACAAGTCAGCATCGGGATGATGAGGATCTATGACTACTTTAAATATGTCACGCGGAATGCGATGCTGACCCAACTCCGATCGAACGGAACACCAGTAGCAAATGGCTCGAATCATCTCGCGCCCCGTCAAGAGTCTCTCTTCAACCTGGGCTCCAAACTCCATCCGACTAATCTGTTGAAGGAAGTGTATGTGATGATTGGGCAACTTATGATTCTTTCGCATTTTATTGAACTTCTCCATCACATTAGAGGCGATCATGATGTCCAGACGCTGGAACCGACCCCGATTTCTCTAAGCTGTTGGTCATCCACAGCTGGGCCTATAGCTTCCATGATCCAACGCTGTGCTAGCTGAATCTCTGGAGAAGATCCAGCGATAGCGCGGACCGCGTGCATCTGCCATTCCCGTATGTTTGTAACGTCGGGAATGTCCATCAGATCAAACTTTTCATTGTCTCCAACTTGCCTCCATTGATCCAGAGGGGCACTCTCCTCTAGACCCCCCGGGTCATGTGGCCCCCCTGGGCCCGGAGAGCCGCCACCACCGCCTCCTCCGCCTGGGGATCCAGGTCCCCCCGGACTCCCTGGAGGCGGCTTCTCTGGCGGACCGCGAAAGGCATCGTTTAGTGCCGATTGAATGTCAGTGCTCTGCGCGATACTACTGTCGTCGCCGTCCTTATCCTGCCCCGTCCCGCCCGGCGGCTGTGCCGCTGGCGCGTGATCTTCATCGTTGCCTAACGGCTGAGCCGTTGGCGGTCTCACAGGTCCGCCCTTAGAGAACGGATGATAGTTAACATAATCCTTTCCTTCAATCTCACCTGCGAGCTTCATCCTGATCGGTATACTATGCTCGGAGGTACCAGGCTTGGCCGGACCTTCGACTGCAGGACCGGGGACTGTATAATGTGGTTTCATGACAGGTCTCATGGGCGCATCCTGTGAGAGTGGAGGCATTTCAAACGAACTCGACTTTATTAATTTGCCCTGTTCCGTTTCACCATGTGGGAAGGGCTTAGTGATGATAGCTCGGAGCTTCATCGCGTCTTTCTCTGATGCAACTGCAGGTGCTAGAGTCTCGTTTCGATCCCGAGCGTCAACAACCGACCCTTTTGAACTTACTATATCTGTTCCTCGGCTTGCTCCTTCATCCTCTGCGCACTGCATTCGTCAAGGAGCTTTTGTTGCTGGGCCCGGAAGTCATTATCGGCACTGTGTCTTCTCCACTGCTCGCCCCACTTTTCCTGTTCGTCTGGCAAGCTCTTTCTTTGAGTGCATGTCGAACATCTTTGTGTATTCATGTCGAAGTGATCCTTGCAGCCCGGCATTCCACAAGTGGCACAGTCCCCAACTTTCGGGTTCGAACAAACTGAACATTGTTCTTCGTCAGCCCCTTCCGCGGGCTGCGGCTGATGCGCAGCCCTCACTTTCAGCACAGGCGGCATCGCGCTTCCCATGGTTATCAAGTCCAATCGTTCTTGTGAGGGCAACGCGCCGGACGGCTGGGCCGCCCGCAAAGGTCGTCCACTTTCCCCGGTCGGCTTGGCCGATGGGCGCGTGATGTCGGTTAGTTGCACATGCCGAAGGGATGCTCTGGCATTTTCATGCAATCTGAGGTCTTCTCGTTGTTTATTTATCAGATCGACTCTCGTCGCAGCTGCAATTTGGGTGTTAGATACTTCCAGCCTGGCATTTTTAAGTTGTTATTGAAGCTCATGTTTTTCTTGTTCTGCCCTGGCTGCAGCGATTTTCTCTCCTTCTACTCTGGCCACCGCAACAGCAGCGGAGACGGTTTTGGCATCGACAGACTGACTAATCGCCGTCGCAACGGCCTGTCGTTCGGAAGCCAACATCTCGGCATATCGGTTCTCGGCTTCTTCCTCCGCCTGCCGCTTGGCGACCGCGGTTCGACGGCACACCTGTTCCACCAACTCTTGTTCCCGCTCTCTGGCAGCCTTGGCCAGGGCAAGTCTTTCAGCCTCGAACGTCTTCCGAACATCCTCGATGGTTGCGGTCATCTCTTGTCGATCCAGTCGGGCCTTCTCGGCCCGCTGCGCTTCGCGCGTCAGAAACTCCTGCTGGGTCTTAGCTTCGACAAATCTAGCCTGATCCTGCAATGCTTGTATGAAAAGATATGTGCAGCTATGCTCGCTCATGGGAAGGCAATCCACACGCAACCATTGATTGCTACAGTTGGGACACACATCCGAGCAACTCTTACATACTGGACGCCTACATGCTCCATCTGGCTTGTGGGCTTTCCCCGGGCATCTGCTCTCCGCCTGTGGCGTGCAGTCGGGACCACAGTTCCAGCATGTTTCAAGCATGGATATAGTACTGTTGCTGCTTGAAGCAGACCGAGCTCCTGACCTTGGCATCTTGGGTCTTCCCCTACTCGAAGCATTCGATCTAGGACGCGTGTACGTACATTGTGGCGGTTTTGGCACCTCCCGAAGCCCCTCATCCCTTTCATCCTGTCTTATCCGCTCGTTGAGCGAAGCTGGATGTTCAACCATTTCTTCATCCTCAACCACAGCAGGTATTGAGGGTTGCCAATCGCCTGGAGCGACAGCAGAACGATATAATCCTTCCTGAAGCGGTGAATCGGTCAAATCGTAATCCTCGTTCCTCTGTTTCTTCAGTTGAGGCGCGGGAGTCCGTCCTGTGGCCTCCCTATCGTGATTCGCCTGAGATTGATGTTCGATTTCCACCTCGACCGCCTGAGGCGTCAGGTCACTGATTTCAACATCCGAATCTGGTTCAGCAAACGCTTGTTCAAGGGCATCCATTTGGTCAAAGTCCATCGTGTTCTGCCCTGGGGACCACCTCTCGCCTCGAGCGGGGTGGTCCGCATCCATTATCGAGGACAACTCTCGGCTCAACGAGACTCCTTTGTTGGCATATTCAAAATCTTCCTCCATGGAGTTTATTTCATGCTCTCCATCAAGTGGCTCGTCACTATCTTGGCCGGACTGTCCGTTCAATGCTATTGGGATGGGATGAGTTCCACTCGTGTTTCTCCATCCGTCTGGGACGGTGGGGCACACGCCTCTGGACTCGCGAGTTTCTTCCGACCCGCTGGCTTTGCCAGCGGCCGGCGCGATTGTCTGTGTAGCAATCGGGCTAGAACTTATCGTTTCCGAGGGTTCAGCGATCAAAGACGAAAATGCTCCTCGTCTAATTCTTGCTGTTATGCCGTTCCGTCTCTGCGGGTCTGGGGTTTGTTCTCGATCGCCGATCGGAATCGAGAGGGAGAATCATCCCCCGACAAGTCAATAACCTCTCCACTACTTCTTCCCCGAGAGACCCGAGTGGCGATATTAGAAGAGGGAAGGCGGCCCTGCCCCGGGCCGCTCTCCTGTAGTTATTGTCCGTCGCGTTGTACAACTTGCCGTTCAGCACTTCGCGAAACGACGGACAATTCATCTGTCTCATCATAGCTCATCCCCGTAGCGACTATGTCGCGGGTTTCGGCTGATAACCAATTTTTCTTCTGAGAATCGGGGTAAGATGACAAAAAGAATCAAGATCGCACGTTCACTCTGCTCAGTGGTACAGGGTACGGGAAGAGACATCGATAAGACAAACAACCGGTAAGCAAATGTACTCCAGGCATGGTAAGGGAGGAGGCCGGCCGGCCGAAGCCCGGATACGGACGTGCAGCGGCGCGCTCCTTTTTCACCTTCGACCACAAATAGCTGCGGGATGGTACCGCAGTGATAGTACAGACAGTGCGCTGCGAGGCGAGTAGTAAGATAGTAAGATAAGTAATATTAAGATGAGGCGGAGAGGAGCATATTTACTCCCCCCCCCCCTTCCCTCCCCCCCCCCTCCAGACACCAGCATTTCTAACCGCCCTCCCCCTCCCCCTCCAAGGGAGAAGGGGTCGAATCCCCCCCTCCTCCTAATAGAATGCTATTAGTGGGGCCTCTCGTCGTCGTCGTCGCCGTCGTCGGTGTCGTCATCGTCGTCGTCGTCGTCGTCGTCGTCGTGGTCGTGGTTGTGGTCGTAGTCGTCGTCGTCGTCGTCGTCGTCGTCGCTGCCCGACGGCGCCGGCGCTGGCGCCAGCGGTCGCCGTCGTCGGTTGCTAATGGAGGGATGATTCCCCCCCTCTTTTCGAACCCCCACCCCTCCGATTCAGCACCCCCCCCCTCCCGTTGGCTCGAACCGCCCCCCCGTCCCTTGAGGGGGAAGGGGAATGGGCGGTTCGAACCCCCCCCCCTTGCAATTCAAGCTCCGCCACCCTGGTTCGACCCCCCCCCCTTCCAAGCGTCCACAGAAGTCGCTCTTCCATGCATATGCATATGCGTATATAAGTGTGTATACATACAAAGATAGATAGAGACACAGAGAGAGAGAGAGAGAGAAGAGAGAGAGGGAGAGAATGAGAAAGCGAGAGGGATGCAGAGAGAGAGAGAGAGAGATAGACAGAGAGAGGTATATATATAGAGAGAGAGAGAGAGAGAGAGAGAGAGAGAGAGAGGATGCCCTACAACGCCGTACACATCAGCGGTGCGATGGCGATGAGCAGCGAACGTGTCGTGGCAAGAGCAACGACACCGTGCACAACTACGTCCAGGCAGCTTGTGTATGATGAAGGACAGCGGGTGCTCTCAGCTCCACGACTGCCAACGACCGATTTTCACTACTCTTCGAATCGCGCTCGCAGGAAGATCAAGGAAACGTAATCTCGTAAATGAGCACGTTCGGCCTGAGACTGACTGTCCTCCTGCTGCTCCTCCTCGTCGTGCAGGAGATGCCCCAAGCGTGGGCGCAAAGACTGCGGTCAGAACTTGTAAACGTGCTGCGCTTCGTAGCCCGAAGCTGCCAGGAGGCCAGCCAAACTACCCTGAACCTTCGGCCCTTTCTTCTCTCCTGGTACCGGCGGAGCCCGCACAGTACGACCACAGACAGTGTCCAGAAACTCGTCTCTTCCGCATACCATGATCATTGTACCACCCGCGGGCTCTGGCAGGTGAGGAGGCCCGAGATCCTGCATGCCCACCCAGCCGCGCCCGCCAGCCCACACAGGTGGGGGCTGCGAGAGCACGTACCGAATGCGAAGTCGGCCTGCGTGCCTGCGCGCCAACAGGTCCATCTCGCTGCGCATGAGGATGTCCTCCTCCTGGCGATTCGCGAAGACGATCCACAGCCGCGTGCGCTCGGCGGGGTCTGCAAGAATGGCTCGCGCCATCTGCAGCATCGGGGCGATGCCTGGGGAGCAAGGGGATGCAGTCAACCTCGCCCTACTCTGCACCAGCCCTCTTCCGTGCTGCTCACTGCTTCCTCTCCTCTCCCCTCCCTCCTTCCCTCCCTCCCTCCCCTCCCTCCCTGCTCCCTCCCTTCTTCCCTCCCCTTCCCTCCCCTCCCTCCTTCCCTCCCTCCCTCCTTCCCTCCCTCCTTCCCCCCCTCTCCCCTCTCCCCTCCCTCTCCCCTCTCCCCTCCCTCCCCCCGTGAGCATGGGGCGAGTTTTGGCTCCCGGTGCCAGTCCCCCCTGCCACCATCCCGAGGTCTGCCCAACGGTTCGGGCGGTAGGGGGCCCCGTGGAAAAGCCGCGGGCTCTTCACCAGCATCTCAGCGCGCTGGCCTGGCCGCAGGCCCACCAGGAAGCTGCCAGGGCCGCCGGGGTCCTTGCGCTGCGGCTGCGGCGGGTAGCCCTTGACAAGGAGCTCGAAGTGGCCTCTGGCACGGGCAAAGGGCACGTGACAGCATCTCTCCCTCATTCTCCTCCTTCACCTCCTTTCCTCCTTCTCCTCCTACTCCTCCTCCTCTTCTCCTCTTCTCCTCTTCTCCTCCTCTCCTCTTCTCCTCTTCTCCTCCTCTCCTCTTCTCCTCTTCTCCTCTTCTCCTTCTCCTCCTCCTCCTCCTCCTCTTCTTCCTCCTCCTCCTCCTCTTCTTCCTCCTCCTCCTCCTCCTCCCACTGCCCCTCCTTCTTCTCATGCTCCGCCTCCTCTCTCTCTCTCTCTCTTTCTCTCTCTCTCCTGCCCCGCCTCATTCTCCTCCTGGAAGTGGCCTCTGGCGTCGGGGAGGGATATGGGAGAGTAGCTCTTGTCGAGCGTGATGGGCTCGCGGCCCTCGTACGCAAGCTGCTGCCTCACCTTCAGGCAGGAGTCTGGCTGCACATCCCACTCCCACTCCACCGCCCACTTCTCGTCCTCCCCACCTCTCTCCCACCTCTGTCCCTCTCACCATTCTCCTCCCCTTTCTCCTCCCCCTCCTCTGCCTCCTCCGCCCGTCCTCAGGAGGTGGCGACTTTTACGCAGCCGCGGAGTGGACATTCGGTCTCCTGGAGCGCGATCTGCAGCTGAGGATCAGCAAGGACGTTGAGGCGCAAAGCAAGGCAAGTCGGTCGCTGTCGTCGCGAACCCTGGGCCCCACGCGGCGCCGGCGGCCATGCGTGCTCAGGGATTCTTGCACTACGGGGAACGCGCAGTTGAACGACGAGCGTTCTATGGGCCTGCCATTCCGGCGACATCCTCGTTGTAGACTTTAACCCCCCAATCCTCGTAGCTACAAAGAACTCCCAGAGATAGGATGGGCCAACGAAATACCCAACGACATCCCTGTGTTCAAAGAGGCCCGCTCTCCACCCGTGCACCCCTTGCGCACGCGAGTAGGTCTGAACTCGTCTTGCGGCAGACTTGTTTCGAACAGAAGAACAGTCGAGCGGGATCCCCCTCTTGACGAGGAGCCGCCCTCCACCGCTGCAGCTGCTGCACAGAAGTGGTCGCCCCGTCCTGCCTGGGCTCGCGCCCGACGGGCGGCGAGCTCGAGACCCCGCGCGCAGCGTGGCGGCACCGACGCAGGCCTCCCTCGGCGCCTGCGGCCGCGCCGACAGGCCGTGCACGGCCCTGCGGGCTCCTGCGTCCTCCTCCTGCGCCCACCTCCTCCTCCTCCTCCTCCTCCTCCTCCTCCTCCTCCTCCTCCTCCTCCTCCTCCTCCTCCGCGTCGTCGTCCCCGTCCCCCTCCCCCTTCTCCTCCTCCTCCTCCTCCTCCTCCTCCTCCTCCTCCTCCTCCTCCTCCTCCTCCTCCTCCTCCTCCTTCTCCTCCTCCTCCTCCCTCCTCCTCCTCCTCCTCCTCCTCCTCCTCCTCCTCCCCGTCGTCGCCCCCCTCCTCCTCCCCTTCCTCCCCCTCCTCCTCTCCTCCTCCTCCTCCTCCTCCTCCTCCTCCTCGTCGTTCCTCCTCCTCCTCCTCCTCCTCCTCTCCTCCTCCCTCCCCTCCTCCTCATCCTCCTCCTCCTCCTCCCCATCCTCCTCCTCCTCCTCCTCCTCCTCCTCCTCCTCCTCCTCCTCCTCCTCCTCCTCCTCCTCCTCCTCCTCCTCCTCCTCCTCCTCCTCCCCCCCCCTCCTCTTCCTCCTCCTCCTCCTCCTCCTCCTCCTCTCCCTCTCCTCCTCCTCGTCCTCCTCCTCCTCGTCCTCCTCCTCCTCCTCGTCCTCCTCCTCCTCCTCCCTCCTCCTCCTCCTCCTCCCTCCTCCTCCTCCTCCTCGTTCACCTCCTCCTCGTTCACCTCCTCCTCCTTCTCCTCCTCCTCCTCCTCTCCCCCTCCTCCTCCTCAACCTCCTCCTCCTCCTCCTCGTTTTCGTCCTCGTCCTCGTCCTCGTCCTTCTCCTCCTCCTCCTCCTCCTCCCCCTCCTCCTCCCCCTCCTCGTCGTCGCATCTTTACCCAACGTAGGCCCAACCGGGCCAATTTCAGCAGGATGTACAGGTAGTAAGTTTGGCGCTCTCAGCATAGGTTCCACGGATCGTTTTGGGCTCGAGGATTCCCGAGAGACTATGGCGGCCAGGATAACGGCGAAAGCCGTAGAAATATGAAGTTCGACTGTCCGTTGAGCGGATAGGGAACGGAAAAGGGCGCGGGGCGCGCGCGCGTTGTTTTCCCTCCGATCCCAAACAGCTAGGGAACGTTCAACTTAATGTTCAAGAATATATCTATACGTACATATGCGGCAGCAGGGAGTGCATGGCAACGACTCCCCCCGCGGCGGCCCGGCCGAAACGGCCAGCCAGGGCCGACGCAGCACCATCGGGACCTAACGCCTCCGACGGCGCCCAAATTAAAGCGGGCACGGGCGCGAGGCTCTCACAGCCGCTAGCAGCCCAGCTCGCCACGTCATAATCACCATGCAGCCATGGGATTACGGCGCTTGTGCCGGTGGTGCCACCGGTGCGCCATAGGCGCCTAGGGCTCACCAGTACCACCCGCCATCGCGGCGCCATGGGGGTCTGTTGTCATGGCGGCGATCTTCCCAGCTCTCATAACCGCCCTTACCGCAGATATCCCTGCCCGGTCCGTTGCTCCTGACTCGGCTGGAGGTGCCCCGCCACGCACTCCAGGCGCGATGGATGAGGGATCGACTTTGCCTCCTGTCACGCCATGGGCGCGGATCGGGTTCGGGCTGATAGGGCTGGGACGATGATGGAACGGCGCCACTTGGGGCCGATTGGCGGATGTCCGTATAGCGGCACGGACGCACCGGGCGTGGGGATGCCGTGCGGCTACCCCTTTCTCATGAGGTCTCTTGCCCTTCCCCGTCTCGGCCACCTCCGGGGGCGGCAGAGCAGCGCCGCTCGAGGAGCTACCTTTGCCATGCCCCTTTTGCGAGACCGCAGCCGCCCTGTCCCTCTGTGTCTCGGAAGTACTGAGGGCGCGTTTGCGGCTGACGGAGCGGGCTGCCCTGGCAGCTGTTGCCTGGGATTGATGTCGCCGTGCCTCTCTTGCCATGGGCAGGCGAGAGGTGGGGCGCTCATCTTCCGAGTCGAGCGGCGCCGCCCCATGTTGCTGCCACATATTCAGGGCATGCACCGCAGCCGCGTACACGTGAAGCGGCCACTGCTCAACAGCGGCGTGCTGAAGGCTGCCGGGCGTTGTCCGCAGGCCACGTCGGAGTGCCGCTGCCTGCGACTGCAGCAAGAACTGCACGCGCGCCTCGATCTTGTGCGCATCAATGGAGACCTGCGGGATGTCCGTTCGATTATGGTAGATGTCTCCGTGCACCAGCTCCAACATCTCGCGGCGCGCCCTCCAGATGTTGATCTCACGCGTCAACGTAGTTCGGTGCTGATGAACTTCTTGAAAATGAGTACGCATGGCGTCCTCATCCGCATTCGCTCCGTCGGTCTCTGTCCAGTCAAAATCCTTGGTCATCTCTATGGCAACCCTGTAGACTAGTTCGGACATCCACTTCGTCTGCACATGGTACAGATCTGGATCATAAACGAAGAATTCGGGCGGCTCGTACCACATTCGGCGTATCTGTGCTTCGCAGGCGGCGACGGTAGTCGCCTGGTGGTACTCTTCGGGCTCGTCATGGGCGGCGAAGTACGCAACGAGCTCATGAGCTGCCCGCGTGATGCGGTAGACGCTGATAGATTGCCTGATGCCAGGATGATGGATTCCGCGACGTGGGACACGGGAGCTGTCCCGTCTGCGCATGGCGCGTCCACCACATGTTCTCGGCGCATCTTCTGATCGGACACGCCGTCTCCGACTGTTCGATCTGCCACGCCTGCCATGGGCAGAGGCAGACGGCCAGACCGAGGCAGGGCGACGTGCTCGTGTCCCTCGAAGGGATTATGCTTCTTCTTCTTCCTCCTCGATGCCAGCCATCTCTGCTTCTGGCGGCCAGTGAACGTCGATCTCCTCTTGAATATCACGCCAAAGCTGGTTCAGTGTCTGCGGCATGTTGTCACGATGTTCGAAGCACCAATTGGCTCATCCCGCAACTGGATCAGGTTTCTCTCGCGCATCGGGGCCCGTGGTATCCCAATCGAAAACGCCGAGGACGCCCATATCTGTTCCGAAATCGACCTGATCCACCTGTCTTGAGAGGTATACCCACCACTTCCACGATGGGCATGTTGCATTGGGGCCAGTAGGATGCCAGCCGCGATATTGCTGGTACATCATCCCCGTGCGTGCCAATTTGTGGCCTTTGACCTCACGTGCCTTGTTGCCATGGGCAGGGCGCTTGTCTTTGGGCGACGATGGAACCCAGGCGAACACCGATCTTTCCGCTGAGAGGGTAACCATTTTGCCCGACATGGCGGCGTAGTAGCGTGTCAGCGCCGCCCTGGAGGCGTCGTACTTCCAAGTTTCTTGCCAGCGCGCCTGTGTGCGATCCGAGATTTGCATCTGGGCCCCTCTCGTCCGCTGCCTGCTGCCGCGATGATAGAACGGTTGGTCCGGCTTCGGATCCTTGAACATACCAGCACTCCTCCAATCCATTGCGGGACGAAGTTTGTTCGCTTGCCACGGGAATGCCTGTTAAATAATCTCGTCCATGCACTCTGGGTACGCCATCATGCCATATCTGGTCTTGTGTCCCAGATGGCAGACGAGGCGTACGTCGTCATCCCAGCCCGGGGACTGCCTGACTGTCTCCCATAACGCAACGTCGAGCCAGTCCTCATGGAAGCCAGCTCTTATCAACTGATTTGGTTCCAGGACGTCGACGCAGCCCGTTCCATGAGCAGGGGGAACCGGTAACATGGTCAGGCGTCGGTCGTAGATTACGCGCCACAAAATTTTGTCACCCGGTGCCTCCGTTACCGCAAAGATCTGCCAGATGTTGTTCCAGTCTGGGAGCTTCTCCGTGAATATTTGACCTGTCGGCGGAATCCAATTCGGGTTAGCCTCCAGGTGCCTCGAGCTGAGCGTGGCCAGGTACTTGCCCTCAAAATTGGACGGATTGAAGTCGGGCGCGGATCAGTTGGTACTCCCGTCGAAGTCCCTCGACATACCACCCTGGTGCAGGAACGTCGGGAAGTTGACGGCAAGTTCAAGGCGAACTCTCTGTTCATGTCGGTAAACTAATCCTCTGGCCTCTTGGAAGCGCATCGGCTCGAACACCTCTCCTGGTGCCTCTAGATCATGGGTCTTTGACGCATGAGGGGATAGTGCGACACTGAAGGCCACAGTTCCGTACTGACGCAAGCCCGTAGCCTCATCGTACAATGGAACCACTACGCCTCTCTGGCTCTGTTGAACGTCAGCAGCGGTCAACGGCAATAGTAATGCTCCGTGTTTTTCGCTCATGCCGGGGTCATGCCGCGTGTTCCGTCGATAGGGGCTGATAATTCTCAGCGCGTCGCCGTAAAC